CGTTTGGCATCCATTCATAATGCCATTGTGTAAGCTTTGATTGGCTACAGCTATCATATGGTACAGGGCCTCTGTGATTGGTCATGTATCATGTGACCAATCACAGTAGGAAGCAAGTGTGCCATGACTGAAAGTCATTGTTTACTACTGAACATGTTATTGCTTTGATTGGTCACACTGATCACATGGTATCAGGGAGGAGCACAGTGGCCTGATACACAGATCAGTGATCCACTGTGTCTGGTGGGGATGTGGGCTTTCGTGAAATATCAGAGATCTAACCAGGCCCCTGATGTCTCACTTTTGAGACAGAGAAAGAACTAAGGACATAAATTCCTCAGTCCCTTTCTCTGCAGCCTCAGCTGCACTGGACAGTGAATGAACAGAAAACGCTTTGTACAGAGGCTCCTGTTCATTTACAAACTAAATAGTGTTTTTACTATGCTTCAGTTATGAATGAACACAGTGAGTGATTGGTAAAAAAAATACTCTTTTTGTTCATTCACAAAATAGATGTAAATAAATATATCATATTTACCTGCCCCTTCCCCTACTTTCCATCCTGAAAAGATCCCCCTCCATGTGAGGAGGGAAGCCGAAAATGCTGTGGGGGGGGGCATCCAGGGGGGTCTGGGCAGCAGGGGCAATGGAATCCTGTACAGGGAGGGTGATTGTGTGGAAGCTGTAATTCGGTGAGAGGGAGAGACTTCAGCTGCTGCAGGAAGAGACACACAATGGATTGGTTTCTGTTATTGTCCCCTTGCTGCAGCAATCACCCCCTGTCCTGCCCATATACAATTATCCTGGTGGCCCAGACCTGGTATAGGAGGATCAGTGCTACCATCTTATTGGTGGCCCTGTATAGTCTGAACACTTATTGTGGGTGGCTGTATGTGGCAGCTGCAGATCTTGGTGTCAGGAATGGACTGGCCAGCAATGGTGGGACTCACCTGCCTTTTGATCTGCAGTACCAGGGCTGGCCAGCGGGTGCTCCCAGCAATCAGAGACTCAACCTTTCAGCCAGCTAACACCTGGAACTGATTATACTGGTGTATTTAAGGGATGGCCAGATCTGCAGACTCTGCCTTGGTGTTGTGTTGGTCCTGGGCCCTGTATCTGTCCTGCATCCTGTTTCTGTTCCTTTGCTGACCCTGCCTGATCTGAACCGCTGCTGACTTCTCCTGCTCTGATCCCGGCTCGCTCCTGACCATCCCTCTGCCTGACCCTCTGTACCACGCTGCTTGCTACCTGTTCTGATCCCTGGCTTGTGACCCTGACCATCCCTCTGCCTGACCCTCTGTACTACGCTGCTCGCTACCTGCTGAACCTGGCCTGTGACCCCGACCCATCTCCGCTTGCTCCCCCTGTACCTACCTGCCCTATTGATATTGACCCGGCCTGCCTGACGACGCTTGCTTGTATGTACTGTTATCTGTGGGTGGTTGGTTTGGTTTGTTTGCACTGTGTATGTTTTAGTATTGCACTGCGTTTATGTTTGTATTGTTAGTGTTAATAAATTATATTGTTTATCACATATCTGAAGTCTGCGTTTCCCTGCGTCAGTCACACACCTCTGGTCACACCTGGGAGCCCTGACATTACACCAAGGCCAATCCTGACCAGAAGTGGCTGCACAGGGAAGCCATCTTGGCTTGTTGCTGGGAAGGATGGATCTGGATGAGGTTGTGTATTTATATCTGCTAGTGCTTGATGACAGAAAATATGCTTATCAAACTCTGAAGGAGTATCCCCGGGATGAACTGCTAGAATGTATACGGCTCGCTCATGTTCTAGTAGATCAGGGCACAGATTTCTCTATGGTGCAGCCATTGATTAAGGTTTGTGTTGAGTTGGTTTCATCTGGTTCCCCCGAATGCAGGGATGAATTTTTGCCGCCATTTAGTGCTGACCAGGTAGAGTCCCTGGTGTGGTTATTAGAGGATGATGTGGGTTACTTTCTGGAGCGTTATTCCACATGTTCACCACAGACACTAAGAGATTGTATAAACGCAGTGCAGTCATTGGTCAGACAGGCTTTGTGTAAGCTCAGCTTTGTTCAACCCATACTGCAGACGTGGACAGACTTGTTGCACCCAGCCTCAGTCAGCTTACAAAAACCCAGTCCTGCTTCTAATCTATTTCCTCAAAACTCTATTCCTGCATTCCCAACAGCTCCTCCTGCCCTGCTATCTACCGCATGTCAGTACCCTGTTCCCACTCGCTGCACCTATCCTGCCTTTAACCCTGTAAAGAAGCCCTCTGTAGCAACTGCTCCCTCTCCTGTTCCATCCTCCAGTTCTTCTCTGTCTCCAGCTGCTCCATTCGTTTGCAGACCTGCGTTTACTTGCAGTGCTCCAGTAGTTAAAACCAGAAAAAAGCGAAAATTCTTTCCAACCAATACCATCCTGCCAGTATCCAAACCGGTGAACCTGCCTTCCGTGGTTCAGCCTGAATCCTCTACTCAGCCTGAATCCTCTACTCAGCCTGATGCCTCTACTCGGCCTGATGCCTCTACTCGGCCTGATGCCTCTACTCGGCCTGATGCCTGTACGCAGCCTGATGCCTCTCTTCAGCCTGAAGACTCTACTCGGCCTGATGCCTACTCTCTACTCGGCCTGATGCCTCTACTCGGCCTGATGCCTCTACGCAGCCTGATGCCTCTACTCGGCCTGAAGCCTCTACTCGGCCTGATGCCTCTACTCGACCTGATGCCTCTATTCGGCCTGATGCCTGTACGCAGCCTGATGCCTCTACTCGGCCTGAAGCCTCTACTCCAGCGTTTTTCAACCACTGTGCCGCGGCACACTAGTGTGCCGTGAGATATTGTCTGGTGTGCCGTGGGAAAAATTCCAATTTCATCTGTAACATGTGGCTTCGGCTCACAAATAGACCAATCATTAGAATCTAATGATTCAGTGGTCGGCAAGCCGCGGCTCGCGAGCCACATGCGGCTCTTTACCCAGTCTAATGCGGCTCTTCTGTGTGCCGGGCGCCTGCTCCCCTCCCTCCTCTCGGTCGGCCGCTCCCCTGCCTCCTCTCGGTTGGCAGCCCCAAAAGTCCGCGCGGACCTTTTAATCCGGCTTGCGGATGTGGCTGTCAGGATGTGGTAGGCGGGGCAGCGTGCCGAACGTGAGGGGAGGGGAGCTAGGCTCCTCTCACAGTCCGCCCTGAAGACCTGAACGGCGCGGGAAGACAGCGAGAGGAACGCAAAAGGTAAGTGAATTGACACGGGGGACTTGGCTTACTAGAAGGGGGGGGGGGGGGAATAGTACTGTGGGGGATGAAATACTATATGAGGGATGAATTACTTTATGAGGGATGAAATACTATATGGGGGATGAAATACTATATGGGGGATGAATTACTATATCAGGGGATGAATTACTATATGAGGGATGAAATACTATATGGGGGGATGAAATACTATATGGGGGGATGAAATACTATATGGGGGGATGAATTACTATATGAGGGATGAAATACTATATGGGGGGATGAAATACTATATGAGGGATGAAATACTATATGGGGGATGAATTACTATATGAGGGATGAATTACTGTATGAGGGATGAAATACTATATGGGGGGATGAAATACTATATGAGGGATGAAATACTATATGAGGGGATGAAATACTATATGGGGGGATGAAATACTATATGGGGGATGAAATACTATATGAGGGATGAAATACTATATGAGGGATGAAATACTATATGAGGGATGAATTACTATATGAGGGATGAAATACTATATGGGGGGATGAAATACTATATGGGGGGATGAAATACTATATGGGGGATGAAATACTATATGAGGGGGGATGAATTACTATATGAGGGATGAAATACTATATGGGGGGATGAAATACTATATGGGGGGATGAAATACTATATGAGGGATGAATTACTATATGGGGGATGAAATACTATGAGGGATGAATTACTATATGGGGGATGAAATACTATATGGGGGATGAAAATACTATATGGGGGATGAAATACTATATGAGGGATGAAATACTATATGGGGGGATGAAATACTATATGAGGGATGAAATACTATATGAGGGATGAATTACTATATGAGGGGATGATGAAATACTATATGGGGGATGAAATACTATATGGGGGATGAAATACTATACGGGGGATGAAATACTATACGGGGGATGAAATACTATACGAGGGATGAAATACTATACGGGGGATGAATTGCTATGGGGGATGAATTACTATATGGGGGATGAATTACTATGGGGGGATGAATTACTATATGGAGGATGAATTACTATATGGGGGATGAATTACTATATGGGGGATGAATTACTATGGGGGATGAATTTACTATGGGGGATGAATTACACTATGGGGGATGAATTACACTATGGGGGATGAATTACTATATGGGGGATGAATTACTATGGGGGGTCTATGAATTACTATATGGGGATGAAATTACTATATGGGGGATTAATTACTATGGGGGATGACATTACTATATGGGGGATTAATTACTATGGGGGATGAATTACTATGGGGGATGAATTACTATATGGGGGATTAATTACTATGGGGGATGAATTACTAATGGGGGATGAATTACTATATGGAGGATGAATTACTATGGGGGATGAATTACTATATGGGGGATTAATTACTATGGGGGATGAATTACTATATGGGGGATTAATTACTATGCTTACTATGGGGGAATATTACTATACTTACTATGGATGACACATACACATCATTCATCTACTCTTGGTCCGGCCCCCCGGGTCCAATTATAAAATACTTTATTATTTCATAATAAAGTAATTATAAAATAATTTCTTTGTGTTTTGATTCTATTCAAGAGAATTACTTTATATATAGTCAATATAGGCACAGAGGTAAATTTTTTTATAACATTTTCTAATGGTGGTGTGCCTCGTGATTTTTTTCATGAAAAAGTGTGCCTTTGCCACAAAAAAGGTTGAAAAAACACTGCTCTACTCAGCCTGATGCCTCTACTCAGCCTGGTGCCTCCACTCAGCCTGATGAACTGATCCAGCCTGATGATCCTATTAGGCCAGTTGACTCGATACCCGCTGTTGATCCAGACGATCCGGTACCTGATCCAGTGCCCGCTGTCGTGCCAATTGACTCAGAGCCCGCTGTCTTACCTGGTGACTCGGTGCCCACTGCCTTGCCAGATGACGCGGTGCCCGCTGGCGAGCCAAATGACCTGATGCCTGGTGACCCAGTGCCCGCTGTCATACCTGGTGACCCGATGCCCGCTGTCAAGCCAGACGATCCAATGCCTGGTGACCCGGTGCCCGCTGTCGTGCCAATTGACTCAGAGCCCGCTGTCGTACCTGGGGACTTGGTGCCCACTGCCTTGCCAGATGACACGGTGCCCGCTGGCGAGCCAAATGACCTGATGCCTGGTGACCCAGTGCCCGCTGTCATACCTGGTGACCCGATGCCCGCTGTCGAGCCAGACAACAATCCGGTACCTGATGACCCGGTGCCCGCTGTCGTGCCTGTTGACTCGGAGCCCACTGCCTTGCCAGATGACACGGCGCCCGCTGTCGAGCCAAATGACCTGATGCCTGGTGACCCATGCCCGCTGTCCAGCCAGACGATTCAATGCCTGCCCCAGTGCCCGCGGTCATGCCAGTTGACTCGGAGCCCACTGCCTTGCCAGATGACGCGGTGCTCGCTGTCGAGCCAAATGACCTGATGCCTGGTGACCCAGTGCCCGCTGTCATACCTGGTGACCCGATGCCCGCTGTCGAGCCAGACGATCCAATGCCTGGTGACCCCGGTGCCCACTGCCTTGCCAGATGACGCGGTGCCCGCTGGCAAGCCAAATGACCTGATGCCTGGTGACCCAGTGCCCGCTGTCATGCCAGTTGACTCGGAGCCCACTGTCGTGCCTGGTGACTCGGTGCCCGCCGCTCGCCTGGGGGCCGAGACCTGTCGCTCCGCCTGGGGGTCCCGCGCCCGCCGCTCCGCCTGAGGGCCCGAGACCTGTCGCTCCACCTTGGGGTCCGGCGCCCGCCGCTCCGCTTGAGGGCCCGAGACCTGTCGCTCCGCCTGGGGGTCCGGCGCCCGCCCCCCGCTCCGCCTGGGGGCCTGATGCCTGTCGCCCCGCCTGGGGGCCTGAATGCCCTGTCCCCGCCCCGCCCCTGGGGTCCGGCGCCGGCCGCCGCTCCGCCTGGGGGCCTGATGCCTGTCGCCCCGCCTGGGGGTCCGGCGCCCGCCGCTCCGCCTGAGGGCCCGAGACCCTGTCGCTCCACCTGGGGTCCGGTGCCCGCCGCTCCGCTTGAGGGCCCGAGACCTGTCGCTCCTACCTGGGTGTCCGGCGCCCGCCGCTCCTCGCCTGGGGGCCTGATGCCTGTCTCCCCGCCTGGGGGCCCGGTGCCTGTCGCCCCGCCTGGTGGCTTGGTGCCTGCTGCTCCGCCTGGTGGCTCCGGTGCCTGCTGCTCCGTCCTGGTGGCTCGGTGCCTGCTGCTCCGCCTGGTGGCTCGGTGCCTGCTGCTCCGCCTGGTAATCCGATGTGCCTCTGCCCGGAGTCCAGCCCGATGTGCCTCTGCCCGGAGTCCAGCCCGATGTGCCTCTGCCCGGAGTCCAGCCCGATGTGCCTCTGCCCGGAGTCCAGCCTGATGTGCCTCTGCCCGATGTGCCTCTGCCCGATGTGCCTCTGCTCCACGCCCGATGTGCCTCTGCCCGGAGTCCAGCCCGATGTGCCTCTGCCCGGAGTCCAGCCCGATGTGCCTCTGCCCGGAGTCCAGCCCGATGTGCCTCTGCCCGGAGTCCAGCCCGATGTGCCTCTGCCCGGAGTGCCAGCCCGGTGTGCCTCTGCCCGATGTGCCTCTGCCCGGTGTGCCACTGCCCGGAGTGCCTGCCCAGTGTGCCAGTCTTTGCCAGTCTTTGATATCCCGCCAGTTACCAGACCCGGGCGGTGGAACATTTTGCCCAGCTAGGACTGTTTGGAGCGTCCTGAGGCCGCTCCTTGAGGGGGGGGTACTGTCAGGAATGGACTGGACAGCAATGGTGGGACTCGCCTGCCTTTTGATCTGCAGTACCAGGGCTGGCCCAGCGGGTGCTCCCAGCAATCAGAGACTCAACCTTTCAGCTAGCTAACACCTGGAACTGATTATACTGGTGTATTTAAGGGATGGCCAGATCTGCAGACTCTGCCTTGGTGTTGTGTTGGTCCTGGGCCTGTATCTGTCCTGCATCCTGTTTCTGTTCCTTTGCTGACCCTGCCTGATCTGAACCGCTGCTGCTGACTTCTCTGCTCTGATCCCGGCTCGCTCCTGACCATCCCTCTGCCTGACCCTCTGTACCACGCTGCTTGCTACCTGTTCTGATCCCTGGCTTGTGACCCTGACCATCTCTCTGCCTGACCCTTCTGTACCACGCTGCTTGCTACCTGTTCTGATCCCTGGCTTGTGACCCTGACCATCCCTCTGCCTTACCCTCTGTACTACGCTGCTCGCTACCTGCTGAACCTGGCCTGTGACCCCGACCAATCTCCGCTTGCTCCCCCCGTGTACCTACCTGCCCTATTGATATTGACCCGGCCTGCCTGACGACGCTTGCTTGTATGTACTGTTATCTGTGGGTGGTTGGTTTGGTTTGTTTGCACTGTATTATGTTTTTAGTATTGCACTGCGTTTATGTTTGTATTGTTAGTGTTAATAAATTATATTGTTTATCACATATCTGAAGTCTGCGTTTCCCTGCGTCAGTCACACACACCTCTGGTCACACCTGGGAGCCCTGACACTTGGAGTGATTATGCAGGCTATGCGTGCTGTATGGGCCATACATGAAGCCTTATATACAGTATATAGCCTTAAATATTTCGATGTTGCACTTTAGTGTTTAAAGCAGGAGTTCTCAACCAGTGTTCCTCCAGAAGTTGGCAGAGGTATCTCAACCAATAAGCGATTTCTGCCTCTCAGATCGGTAACCGCTGACAACAATTATCTTTTAAGCTGTCTGTAAGGGGATTCTTCCCAATGAGCACAAAAATAAGGAGCATTTGTCCTACGAATGTACTGTGAGCTGTACATATTATAATTACAGTTGTCTGAATCCAAAAAGTGTTTTCAAGGGTTCTTCCATGTTAAAATGGTTGATAAAGGTGGGTTTATAATTAAATTATGGTAATGTAACAAAACTCCTGTCAACCCGATGATGGGTGATTCCGTAAGAGAACCGCGCATTCCTCGCCACTGGGTAATCCCAGGAACAAGATATTATAACCGGCATTGCACCCAAAGGACTAGTCGACACCTAGCTTAGATGCCAAACAGGAACTACTTTATTGAATCAGAAATCACAGGTTTTGTATACATTTCAGGAATAGGGGCAGTCCCCCACATGAACAATAACCACAAATAGTGTACATTAGGATAAACACCCCACGCTGATTAGATAACACAGTGAAGCTGACATCAGTTCTAATCTCATCATGCAGGAGCCTCACAAGAGGACTTGCCAACAGTGACAGACATACGTGTCTCCATCAAACTCAATTAGAACTGGAGTCCCTTGCACGCCTAGGGTGGCACATCGAAGATTGAGGAGTAAGACAGTAATACATAATACCTGAATTAAACAGATTACATCTCAAGAGGTCCTCATGCTATATAGGTTTGTCTTTGAACTGATTTATATTAACATCTTTCTGTAGAGGTCTCTGAGTCTAAGAAGGAGAGGGGGTTGAAGTGGTCAATTGTGGTGCTCATGGGCACACGAGACCCAAATCTGATTTCCTGGTAGTCTCCAGTTTTCAGAGGCTGTGTGTTTTTAGGGAGGACATGGATCTTGAATCGAAGTAAAAACTGCTCCATAGGTTCCCCCCAGGCACAATAACAAATCAGAATAGGAGCCCCCATCAGATGCCCGGGCCATGGGTTCAGTATAGCAAGAGGGGGGGGGACTAGCTTGCAAGTCCCCTCCAAAAGACCCTGTCCCAGTTTGGGTCTGTCAAGATAGTAAAACTGTATCAATACAATTAAAACAATTTATTGTAAGGCCTGAAATATTCCCAGCTCTCCTTGCAGTAGGTCTACAAGTTTGTCTGAACGCTGAGCCTTCCCATTCTCTGGATTGCGTGGCTCAGAATAAAAATGTCTTTAAATAATTGGATACACTCAATGCTTTACTTTATGGAAACTGGCAAGTTTTTTGTCAGATGCGTTTATATAGCATTCTCTATTATTTAAATCCAAAGTTAGGCCTTGCCTTAGCTTCTCTCTAAAATGCGCTTTTTTGCTTGATGTGGTGTGTTGTGGTTTTGATTTGTGACACACCACCCTTCCAACCACAATCCCCCTTGATTTCTCCTTGATCATACCCCGGAACCTCCTCTCCTGTGAGTTTCTGATTTGATGTGCGTTTACGACGGTCATGACAATTCTCTAACCCCAAATGTTACAGTTGCGTATGGCAACTTAGGTGCCTGTTCATAGTTTGTATTGGCTGTGTTTATTGCATTATTCTGCCCAAGTGTCTGTAGAGAGAAAAGTGAGTGTTGTGTAAATCTGTTCAATTGAAGAATGGAATAATACAGATGTTGTTGCGCTGATATCTACAGCTTCGTCTAAAGTCACTCTTCTATACAATTCTGATGTTTACTGTGTAACTGGTAGTTGTCATAAGCTAGAACCATTCAGGACGCACGCATTCATCTCGCATAATAGACAGTAAATTGACAGAAGCCCCAAAATACATTTTTCCTCGACCTACGAGGACAGTCTTGTTTAAGGACCAGCAGAAGACTTCTTGTCAAGGTTATGAATCTTGAAAATTATAAGTATAAGCTTTGGGCAAAAACATAGCAATCTTGAGGCAAATGTTAAAAGGGACAATAACACTAAAGGTCATCCATGTAGGGAGCAGGATGTAAGGTCAATGACAAAACAACAGGTGGGAAACAATAGCACACACAGAGAGAGACTTAGGATTGAAAGCAGGCTGTTTCGTTGGTGAATGGTAAAAGGTGCATTACAATGGGGTTAGGACCTGGATTGGGCCTAGTCTTCATCAGGCCATTTAACGGAGAGGATTATTATTATTTATACAGTATTTATATAGCGCCAAAGGGTCATGCTCAGCGCTGTACAGTAGCAAGGGGGACAGAACATGAGACAAGACAGTTAAACAATACACTACACGAGGGCGTATCGAGGGCCCTGCTCTTTCAGAGCTTACATCTAAAGATGGGCAGGGAAAGGTGGCACCAGGAGGTGATGTGGCTGTGGGGGATTGGAGTGGCCGGAGGATTGAGTGGAGGAGGTTAGTTGTTAGGCGAGGCGAGGTCGGGTGTGTAGGTGAGGGGGGGAAAAGGTTGGGGTAGGCTTCCCTGAAGAGGGAGGGTTTTCACGGGTGTGCCTGAAGGTGTGGAGGGTAGGCGGACAGTCTGATGGAATTACAGGTAGGGAGTTCCAGCGGATGGGGGACGTCCTGAGAGAGTCCTGTGCAATGGGGCCTGTGGGAGGAGTAGACCAGGGGAGCTTAGGAGTGTAGGACGGTCCTGTGAGGAGCGGAGGGGCACGGGTAGGGTTCGTAGTATTTTGAGGTATCAGGTCAGTTATGTAGTTTGGGGCCGGCATTGTGAATGGCTTTGTTAGGTCAGAGTTAGCTCAGTTTGATTGATTTTGATGCGGCTGGGCCC